GCTAACCTACAATGAAATAAATTTCCCTCAGGACTAAACCAGAAGAGCTTTATGGTCCAAGTTAGTAAAACTATCCATATAATTCCCCTCTGAATCTCATAGATTCTCTAATAGCCATAGTTCCAAGTATAAGAAAAAAGGAAAAACTGATATTCCTTTTGCTGCCACAGCAAATGCACAGAAACTCAGGTAATAGTTAAATATGTATGCAATTTAACTAACTATGGAAAACTATACATCTACTACTAATTTATTTTTTGCCAATAATTTCAAAGGTATTAGTTGTAAGAACAGCCAAATAATTCGGGTTCATGCAAATTCACTACTGTTAACATTTTATTCTATTTATCATTAATTTCTCCCCTCCTCCCCCTCCCTCCCCTTTCTTCTCTTTCTCTTCCTCTCTCACACACACAGACAGACACAAATTGTATACATTTGTCATCACTTTTATATAATTTGGAGTATATTTAAGAATGAGCACTTTCTTTCTACATAATTATATTATTCAAGATTTTTAATATTTAATAAAATGCTTTCATACACATATTTGTCTTAAGAAATGTGCCAATAATATCCTTTATAGAATTTTTTGTCCAGTATAAAGTTAGAAATCACCTCTTGTCATCAACCATGTTTTGCACCATTTTTCAACATCCCATGACATGTTTATTTAGCTTCCTTTCACCTGTAACTATTTTTCGACCTCTTCTAAGATAAAAACTTTTCAATAAATAAAGCCCTTTTATTCTTTTAAATGTAATATTTTCCATTTGATGTTTTTCTGATATTGCATCATGATTAGACTCAGGTTACACGTGAATCCGCAATCTATAAATTCTAAGCAAAATCTGGCCCACCATTTATATTTGTTGAAAGAGAAAGAGAAAGAGAAAGAGAGAGAGAGAGAGAGAGAGAGAGAGAGAGAGAGAGAGAAAAGGAAGGAAGGAGAGAGGAGAAAATTTTACTCTCACATTCAATGTAAAAGTTCCCTTTTCTCCACATCTTTGTCAAAACTTGCTATCTCTTGTCTTTTTTATAAGGCACTGTAATAGGTTATGCTATAACAGCTCACTGTATTTTTATTATTTCCCAGATGGTTTGGGCATTGTTTTCCATATTTGTTGGACATTTGTATCTCTTTTTTTGAGAAATGTCTATTTATGTCCTTTGCTCACTTTCTAATCAAGTAATTTGGGCTTTTTCTAATTGAGTTCCTTATGTATCTTTTTTTTATGTATTTAGTACCAGGTCTACAGGGTCTCACTATGTAGATCAGACTCCTACTGATCCCCCTGTTTTCAGCCTCCCAAGCACTAGGATTACAGGCAAACACAACCATACCCAGTCTCAGTCACCACCTCAGCGCGCCCCGGGGGCAGGGCTGGCAGAGTTTGTGGTGCTGGGGATTGAATCCCGGTCCCTGCGTTCTGCCTAAGCAGGCGCTTTAGTCTGCTGAGCTATCTGGCAGGTCCTTCCTTACACATTTTGAATAGCAATCATTTTATCATTTGTATGGCTTTCAAATATTTCTCCCACTCTCTGCTCATTGTTTGCACATAGCCATATTCATTCCTTTCCTATTATCTGCAGCTAGCTTTCATAATATAATGACAGGTTAAGTAAATAAACTGTAGACCCCTGCAGCAACATTTCCTTTTGTAAGTATCATGTAGAGATGCACTTAGTGTCCTGTTCTCCTTAGTTCGTGATGTTAATTTTAATCACCCCAATAAGGTGGTTAACAAGGTATTCAACTATGTACTTATGATTTTCTTCTATACTTTATAAATAATCTACTTGGTACACAATTCAGTACTATGCACATCGTATCAAAGAAACAATTCACCAACTCAACATCCATTGATAACTCTTTCCAAGGTAAATTCTTAATATGACTGTTACAAAATGATGATTTTGCTAATTGGCAGTCAATATGAAAAAGGAGGCTTTTCTCTGTGCCTCTTATCAGTATTAAACTTGAATTCCTGTTTCTCCAATTGTTTATAACAGTTTCTGAAATTATTCTGATACTCAAATTGTCACAGATGTTATGACCGTGGACCCCTTAAGGCTATCGGACCCATTATTTTCTTCACTGGATACTAGTCTAAATTTCTTGCCCTTAACATACTTCATGTCTGTGCCTAAAAATTCTATACACTATATTTTTTAAAATACAGACTATAGTAATTCTGTCAGGGTATGTCACAAAATTGCTATTATGGGTGAATATTATCAGGTATCAAACCCAAAAGCTCATGAAAAAGAAAATATGTAAATGAATTGCGGAAGAGTCATACAATCAATGAGACATGGTAATGTAAAAGATGAACTGAGGCAATACATAATAAACTGGATAAATCTTGGTGATACAGTGATAAACGAAATAAGCCTCGGGAAATAGTATAAAGTAAAATTCCGTTTTTTAAAAGTCAAGAACAAGAAGTATACATATTATTAAGCTTCTTTTCAGAACAAATACATAAAAGATTTTGTTTTCAAAATAGGAGAGACAAAAAATACAATGCAATACATATTTTAATCAACATGATTTTAAATGGGAAATTAACAGGAATACAAGAAATGGTTGTATTTTCCTAAATACACTTTTGAAGCTGTTTTGCTAGACAGATCTGTTTCTACGTTGACAATGTAACAATCAAATACAGTTGAGCTGGAATGAACATTATAAAAAGAAAATTCAAACACTCAAAAAGGAGTTTCCTGCTACCCTGCGCCGGCGGGACCAGTCCCAGCCCAGGCGCAGCGTGGGCCGGACCCTCTTCCAGCCCCTCGGGCCGCCCCCCACCACTCCGCAGTGCCTCCCCCACCCCGCCTGCCGAGTAGGATTTTCTGCCGAGTTCCGGGAGCCCCCAGACCCAGTCCTAGCCCAGGTCCGGTGAGTGTGCGACGAGTTTCCTGCTAC